ATATATGATATGATTGATATGATTCACCAATACTGAAGGATTTTGTTACAACTATTTTCTTGTAACAAATAAAAAAGTGTAATTTATTTTGCATTAATTTTGTGGCTAAGGTTGTTGTATGAGGGGAAATGAAGCATAAAGAATCCGCAGCTCAAGATTGCATATTTTCTTTAGATATAAATAATTAATATGCCTTTATTATAATGTTTTAAATTTTTAATCTGTGTTTATTTTTTTAATTATATTTATTAATTTTTTAAATAATATTTAAATTTTTAATCTATTATTTTGATGATAAAATAAAATTTTGACGGAAATACAAAAGGAAAAAAAAGCAAAAAAAAAAAAAGTTAAAGTAACATGAGGTTGAAATGCCAAAAAAAAAATCTAAAGACTATGTACGAAGGTCATGTTCCCAGCAAACTGATTTGACTCAATGGCAGACAAACCCTACCATTTTGTCATATATATATCAATCATTCACCAATGGAAAGTTAAAATAAAATTGATCTTAGATCTAATCCTAATCGTTGAAGAAAATTAGTTGGAAGCAAATTGATATTGATCCAATAATTGTGGGGCGTCCTTATGTTCGCCTGGTAAAAATAGAAAAACATATGTACACCATATGTATAACAAATATGTAAAAGGAAAGATGTTGATGAAAGCCACAAATTGAAGATCCATATTGAATATTTTTTATTGAATGCAGCACAATGAAAAAACAAGGAAAATCGATCAACTATCATATTCATCATTAAAAGGTGTTTTAAGTTTTTTTTTTAAAAAAATACATTGTAGTATAACATTTAGATTGCATTATATCTACACACTTAGTGTCTTCCATTTGAGGCTCCTTTTTTTTAATTATTTAAAAAATACCTTAATGTAGGGAGGAGAATTTAAAAATTCTTCAGAATGCTAACTCAAAGATTTAAATGTAAAAATTAAAAACTAGAGTAAACTTTTTAAACCGTCAAACCAATCTCTTTAGATTTTTTGTTTACAACTTTGACTGTGAAGCTTTCACTTGCTAATCTTCTTTGTAGCTTTGACTGGGAAATGCCACAAGGATTCAAGCTGAAGACAAAATTTCAGGTATCACCATGCGCAAGCAAAAGGCTTTGTATGTGTCTTGTGCCTAGGACGCAATGTCTCGTTTTAACCACTCAACAAGGGCAGTTTTCCCTCTCCGTCCTACGTAGCTAAAATTAACATCCTAGGCTAGCTGATTAAAGACAAAATTTCATCGATTTTTTCTAGATGGAATTATGCGATGATCTATATTAAAAAAATAATATAAAACAATTTTAAGAGTTTTACTCAACTATTTTTCCCTCTCCGTCATAATTAAAACTTGTATCCTACAATCATATTTTATTTGTGACAACATCTATTCTTAGTTATTTTATTATATCATTAGAATTTTCATATTGATACTTTACAAATTTAGTGAGTTGATTATATATAGTTGGTGTATATTTTATTTGATCTATCTTCAAAATTTATTTATATATACTGTTTATCTTTGTTTCATAATTTTAAATGTTATAATATCTACAATTATTATATAGTTAATGATGAAAACATTTGATATTAATTATTCTCCATAACTTTGAGAGTTATTTCAGTTGTATACAATAACTTAATGTTATTTAGAGATTTACATTCTTGTTTTTTTTATGTCTATGTCGGCATTATATTTTTTATTTAATTAAATGATTTTATTATTGAATATTTTTACATACAAAGATAGATCTTTTAAAGTTCAGCTAACCCTCGATCATGTCAAGGCTAATCTAAGTTTTAAGCTAAAATTAATATATCTCATAATGTTTATTGCTTTTTTTTTTCCGTCTCCAAATAATGACTTTTATTTGAAAGTTCCAAATTTGCAAGTCCTAGGTTTAGACTCGATTGAAATGAGATAATGATATTTAGTGAGATGCCAAAAAAAAAAAGAAGAAGAAGTTAGGTTACAACAAGGCCCAAGCCCAACCCAAAGGGCTAGGCTGATCTTAACCCAGTTCAAGATGAAAAAAGAAAAAGAAAAGGAGAAGAAGAGAGGTTGCCCAGTCCATTAGGCCCAGTGGGCCGAAGGCCCATTTTTTTAAAAAGCTCAATGCTTTAATCTCATTTCATTTTAACCTTGAATTTTTATTTATTTATTTATGTATCTTTATTTTATGCTTAATTTAGATTTAATGTTTTGAATTTATTTAGTTAATATTGAATTATAGAATTCATTTCAATCATTAGGTTAGGTAATTAATAAGTTGATGAATTGTCAAGTCTTATAATTTTTAAGGACCGATAACGATTCCTCACCAATAAAAAAAAAGGGATAAAAAAAATAAAACATGAACAAAAATATGAAAAAAGGAAAAGGAATGTTACCAAAAGGAAAAACAAAAGGAAAATGCTACCAAAAAAAGGAAATCGTAGGAAAAGAAAAAAAAGAAACAAATAAATAGAATGCTAGGAAAAAGAAACAAAAGAAAAAGATAGAAAATAGAAAAACAATAAAAAAATATATATTAACAAAGTCTACTAGAGACTAATGTTAACCCAAATTAATCACATTTTAGTAATTAGGTCGTTCTCCGATATATCGCTTATATCAAGACTTAAAATGTATCCGATGTTAAACTAACATGTCTTCGATGGAAGGATCCGACGATCAGCTCAATATGATGTCTTAAACAAAATAAAAAATAAAAACTTGAAATTTTGGCTATGGTTGATTTTGGTAAAAATAGAATTTTTTAGGAGATAAATTTTAGAACTAAATTAGACATAATACATTTTTTAGTGAAAAGTATTTTTTTGTGATTGATATCTTTAGAAAAACGTAACTAACTCTTTGTTCTAAAATCTCTAAATCAGTATTTATTTTAGATTTTTAATTTATTTAATACTAGGTGACAACTCACAAAATCAATAGTAATTCACATCTTTAAAATTAATTATGAATAATTCAAATAATAAATAATTTTAATTTTGGAAAGTCCCATGAAAGTCGGATAGCAACAAGACCCTGAAGCTTGGAAGAATCCCTGAGAGTTTTACCTTGGTAGATTCTTGGGAAGTTCTATTGACTCGAAAGGGAATGATTTTGAGCTAATACCAATTGGCGGTGGTCGAAGAATTTGCCCTGGTATGTTTATACGACTTGCCACTGTGGAGCTCTCACTTGCCAATCTTCTTCATAAATTTGACTGGGAAATGCCATCTCGGATGAATAAAAAAGGTCTAGACCCTAATGATCTGCTACCAGTTCTTGTTCCTCGCATGAGGGATGCTCTGTGCCTTGTTCCTCGCATCAGGGCTGTTGTATGATGGGAAATGGTGCATAAATCACATGTACGTAGCTCAAGATTATACATTTCCTTTATATATAAACTAGATTTTCTATCCACATCGGACGAAATATATAAAATTAATTTTAAAAAATTATGTTATTTTTATGTCTCGTGTTATATTGCATATATATGAAAAAAAACATCGAATAAAAAATGAATAAAAATTTGTTCAATTTTATAATTTTTTAATCAAAATTTTATATTTTACTAATTATTCTTTATATTTTTCATAAATTTTTTATCAAAAAAATTATTTGATAGTATAAAGAATGTCAAACCCAATGGATTCTTAACTAAAAATTTATTTTGTAATTTTTTTAACATTTCTTTTACCTTAAAATTTTTTATTAAAAAAAATAGAGAAAAAATGACTAAAGTGATTAAAATGAAATTAAAAAAGAGGGACCAAAAACAAACCAAAAATATTTATGGACTAACAAATAATATTTAAACAAAACAAAAGTGTAATATCACAAAAACTTTCACAATAAATGTGTTAAAAATGTTGAAAACTATAAAAATGTCACTAAAAAGTGAAAGAAATAGTGTATCCGAATCCGTGTGAATAGTGAAATGAATCCGAGTGAATAGTATTTTAAATAGTGAATGAATAGTAAATAATTGTTTTACTTTAGTTTTATTGATAATAATAGCTAGATGTGTCTTTATTATAATATTTTGAGTTTTTAATTTATGTTTATGTTTTTAATTGCTTCGTTATATATGTGAATAATGTTTAAATTTTTAATTTATCATTTTAATAATAAAAATATTTTTGACCAAAAAAACCACTTAAAGTGACGTGAAGATATTTCATTTTTTGACTAAAATTCTTCAAACCGAAAGCAAAAAAAAGAAAAGAAAAAGAAAAAGACTTTAAGGTGTTGTTTGGTAATCGGGAATAGAGTGATGTGAATGAGAATGCGGGAATCGGAATGGTATTTGTATTCCAATAATATGTTTGAAATACTAATAAGGAATCGAATGCAATTTAAATTTTTTAATATCTGATTTTTTATACAAATAAAAATAATAATTAAAAAAATAATTTTATTAAACTATATGATTGTAAAAATAATAAAGTTGATTGTAGTTATGATAGTGGTGGTGGTAGTGGCGTAATGATTACCGGAGTGATAGTGGTGGTTATGATTGTGTTAATGATGGTGGTAGTGATAGTGGTGGTTGTGATGATACTATTAGTGGTGGTAATTGTGATATTGGTAGTGGTGGTGGTTGTAATAGTTGCAATGGTGGTGGTAATAGTAATTGTGATTGTTGTGATGGTAGTGATGGTTGTAGTTGTTGTAATGATGATGATGGTGGTAGTTGTGGTGATGGTGATGATGATAAAAGTAGTTAATAAATAATAAATAAATAAAATATATTATTAGTTTGAAAAAAATTCATTCATATTCTTTGTTTTTTATTCCCATATATTATGTGGAAATGAAATCGTGTGTAAATTTTCATTCTTATTCTCACTTTTCATTTCCATTCTCACTTCATTCCTTTTAATCAAATAACTACAATGTGAGAATAAGAGTTTCACTCTTATTCTCATCATTATATTTCTGATTATCAAACAACACATGTAACTTTTAAGTGTTTTTTGTTTTTCGGTCAAAATATTCTTTCATGGTTGGACCGAATGGAACAACAGACTTATCTTGTTTGAGTCGACTCGGTGAGTTGTTTGGCGTTTTACATTATTTGTCTCGGCCGAGTCAACTCATTCAGTCTGTGATTAACAAATCTTCCTCTGATGGACCTTCAATCTCCCCCATTGGTCAGTTTGAATTCTCATTTTACTACCATCAGTGTTTTCGACGGTTGTTTTTTGCCCACCAATCAAACGAGGGTGTCGTCGTTTCCGGAATCTTCCTCTGATGATACTGCTTTGGACAGTACAGTATTTGTTGAGGATATTGCAATGTTTCCGGCTAGAGCTGTGGAGGATCAAGTGTTGGCCCCACAACACTCAGAGTTGTCAAGAAAGCATTAGATGAATGCTTTAGATTTTTCTTTTTGTTTCAGCAAATAAGGATCCAAACATAGTATATAGAAGAGATCTACTCAATTAAATAAATAATTTCGAGTTTTACTCTTTATACATAGTAAAAAAATTAATAATTATTTTTTTATTATGTTTGATAACATAACAAGAGATTAGTCTAAGATTTTAAACCTATAATACCCTACAGAATCCAAAATAAAACAAAAACAATACATTTGTTTTATTTTATTTTCTTGCAAGAAGCAACACTTCAAAGGCATTCTAGGCATTATAAATGATTTAATACAAAATTAATGCCAATTTTTTTAATTTTTTGAACTTTTTTTTAAAAGGAGTGTAATGAAAAATTTACGTGCGAACCGAAACTATACTATGAAACATTATGCGAAATTAAATTACAAAATAAATATAAACCAAATGTTACACAGCCATCAAAATAGTGGATAAGAAATCGCATCTTAATTAGCACAGGTCTTTTTTGGTTTTATTGACAGCTGGGCGATTAAAGCTGGTGAGTTTGCTTCCACTAGATGAATGTACGAGCATGCGTTTAAGGATTTGATTGTGACCTTGATCGCCTATTTTCCACTAGATGAATGGACCGCTAGATGAATGTATAGCATATGTTTAAGGATTTCATGGGATAAGAATGAACAATATTTCTCACTTATTTTTCTCTTTTTTTATAAATAAATATTAATAATTACTTTTGGAGAAAATACTATTCTTTCAGACCAAACATAATTATATTTGGTAAATGACGTACGATGTACGATGTACAGGTTCACAATATATCAGAAAAAAATTAAGTATGCTGGCCTACTACAGAGGAAAAAAAAGGCTAATTGGAGCTTTATTTCTGTTCTCTTTTTTTTGTGATTGATAGATCAAGAAAATTTAGAGTCACAAAAATGTTATCGTCGAGCTAATTTATTTTCCTTTTTTAAATTGTTTCGAGTGGCTTGATCTGATCTGAAATAGGTGTATTTATAGCTTTTCATTGTGATTTGTTGTAGTACATAGATTACAATGGCTTTACTCGTCTTCCTAATTCTCTCTCTCCCCATTTCCTCTTTGTTTCTTCTCAAGAAAAACAAAACCACTAGAAAGGCCTGTTTCCCTACTGTCCTGATGGTCTTTCCTTAATAGGTAACTTACACCAGATTGACAGCTCCAATATTCATAATTATCTATGGAAACTCTCTAGAAACATGGCACTCTCATGTACATGAGACTAGGTTTCAAGCCAACCCTAATAGTTTCTTCTTCCAAAATGGCTAGAGAGATATTGAGAACCCACGATCTTGAATTTTGTAGTAAACCTGCCTTGACTGCCCTGCAAAAATTTGTACAATAATCGCTATTAATTTTTGTTTTTTTAGTATTCTCAAATCAATTTGTACATTAATCTTGACTAATTTTTTTTCAATGGTTTTTGTGCGCACTGCACGACACAAATTTGCTTGACATATTCAAATAAATTTTATGAAATTTTCAAGATGTTAGACCCAAAGTGTAAACTCAAAAAAAAAAAAAAAAAACAAAATGAAGTAAACTTCTTTAACCACTCGGTAAACCATTGGAAGTTAGTAAATCGATTATATTGCAAGTTTGATTGAAATCCATCTACATAGATTTTTTATTTCTCGTCTATTTAAAGAAGCTTCTCTCGTGATTGGCAGTTGCTCTCAAATAATTAAATCATAATGGCTTTACTCATATTCCTAAGTCTCTCCCTCCCCATCTTTCTCTTCTTTCTTCTCAAGACGACCAAAACCTCTAAAACTGTTCGCTTCCCTCCTGGCCCCAATCGTCTTCCCTTGATAGGTAACTTGCACAAGCTTGATAGCTCAAACCTTCAAACGTATTTATGGCAACTATCTAAAAAATATGGCCCCCTTTTGTCCTTGAAGCTAGGTTTCAAGCGAGCCCTAGTAGCATCTTCAGCAAAAATGGCTAGAGAGGTACTGAAAACCCATGATCTTGAATTTTGTAGCAGGCCTGTCTTGACTGGCCAGCAAAAATTGTCCTACAATGGCTTGGACTTGGCTTTGGCACCATATGGTGCTTATTGGAGGGAGATGAGAAAGATATGTGTTGTTCATCTCTTCAACTCAATACGAGTGCAAAGTTTTCGTCCCATCAGAGAATATGAGGTTTCACATATGATTGAAAATATTTCGAAAGCAGCTCTTGCTTCTAAACCCTTCAACTTGACTGAAGCAATGATGTCTCTTACAAGCACAACAATATGTAGAATTGCCTTTGGAAAGAGATACGAGGTTGGAGGAAGCGAAAAAAGTAGGTTCCAGGCGTTGCTTAACGAAACCCAGGCCCTGTTTGCAATCTTTTTCCTTTCAGACTACTTTCCATACACGGGATGGGTTGATAGGCTCACCGGACTTGCTCATCGTCTTGAAAAGAATTTCAAAGAATTTGACGTTTTCTACCAAGAAATCATTGATGAACATCTTGATGCAGACAGATCAAAGCCCGAGTATGAGGACATACTTGATGTTTTGCTTCAAAGGTACAAAGATCGCACTTTCAACTTTCAACTTACGTTTGATAACATCAAAGCAATTCTCATGGTAATATAAGTTAGACCCAAATTCAGCCTTTTAACTTTCACTTCCTGTGCAAAATGATTTGGATTTGAATATTCCAACTTGAAAGTCCTATTTTTAGATTGCAATGAAACATAAAGTATGCAAATGGTTTGAAATATATCATTCTTACATTTTTTTTGTTTTCGTTTTTTGTCTCCTTGCAGAACATATTTGTTGCTGGGACGGATACAAGTGCTGCTACTGTGATTTGGGCCATGAGCTTTCTAATGAAGAATCCTGAAGCAACGAGGAAAGCTCAAGAAGAAGTTCGGAAGGTAATAGGAAATAAAGGTTTTGTGCATGAAGATGAAGATGATGTAGAACAATTGCCTTACCTTAAAGCTGTGGTTAAAGAGACCATGAGGCTGCAACCAACAGTCCCAATACTACCAAGAGAAACAACTCAGGAGTGCAACATAGATGGGTTCGAAATACCTGCCAAGACCTTAGTTTATGTGAACGTACGTATTTGCTGTTGGAAGGGACCCAGAAGCTTGGGAGAACCCTTATGAGTTCAATCCCGATAGATTCTTGGGTAGTTCTATTGACTTGAAAGGACAAGATTTTGAGCTCATACCTTTCGGCGCTGGCCGAAGAATTTGTCCTGGTATATTTATGGGAATGGCCACTGTGGAGCTGTCCCTTGCCAATCTTCTTCACAAATTCGATTGGGAAATGCCGGTTGGGATGAAGAGAGAAGATATAGACGTGGATCACGTGCTACCCGGTATTACTACGCACAAGAGGGATCCTCTCTGGCTCGTGCCTAAAGAATTTGAGTGAAACTGGAATTAGCACATGATTAAATGGTTATCTCTTTGTTTCTTAAGGTTTTCGTGCTGTATCCAATAAGAATAAACGACGGAGCTTAATGTGAAGATTGACCTGAGAATGATTTTCGGCAAGCTCCATTAGATTTCTAAAATTAGGTTATTTTCTGTACGGTTTGAATTAAATTTTCGATGCAACACATATATGAAAAAAAGTTTACTATCTGAGCTGATACCCTTTGATGCAGGTCGAAGAGGGTGTCCAGGGATACATATGGGAGCTGCGACTGTGGAGCTTGCACTTGCTAATATTCACAACTTGGACTGGGAAATGCCACAAGCACTGAGAGCTGAAGACATAGACATGGATGTTATACCAGCAGGTATCACCATACGCAGGAAAAATGCTTTATGCCTTTTCAAACTTTAATTAATTAGAACATGGCAACAAATTTACAAAATTCACGTAGCATAAATATCATGAATTAAATAAATAAAAAACCTTAATTGATGGAAAAAAAAAACAAAAGGAAAAAAAGAAAAGAAAACGCATGTATTCAAAACAACTTGAGGAAAAAAAAAGTGAACAGTGCTGGAACCCAAAAAAAAAAAAAAAAAGAGGTGAAAGTGAACATCGCCGGAACCTTTAAAAAAAAAGGAAGGATGAATAGGGTTGTGAACAGTTACAACGCCATGTGTTTTAAACCAAAACTAGATTTTTTGTCTGCACCACGCTGCGAGTTGAACAAAATATATAAAATTATTTAAAAAAATCATTTTAGTTTGATAGTACTGTTTTTTGATGTGAATATATAAAAATATATGAAATAAAAAATGTAAAAAAATATATTTATAATTTTTTAATAAAAAATTTTGTATTTAACTATTTCTTATTTGTGTTTTTCATAATTTTTGCTTCAGAAAAAGGATTTACCTTTCTTAATCCATTGATTATTAATTAAAAATAAAATTAAATAAAATTTGTTTAAAAAGCTTTAGTATTTCATAAGATTGTGTCGAAAAACAAAAATAACAATTATTAAAAGTTTACACAAAATTGAACAAATATTTTTTTATTTTTTTATTTAGTTTTGATGAGAATATCGATTTTTGAAAGAAATGTGAATTTAATTTTTATGTATTTATTTACAAAAGAATGAATAATATTAAAATAAATCAAAACTGTCAATAAATATAATTTTAAATTAATTGGATGAGAATTTAAAAAAAAACTAAAAAATTAAAGTAGTAAATTTTAAATAATAAAAATAATTAAAACAAAAATATTAAAACAAAATGGGACCAAATCACAATACAATTAAAGTTTGAAATTGAAAAAAAAATTATAGAAAAATTGAGGACCATATAATTTTAAATTAATTGGATGAGAATTTTTCTTTAAAAAGAAAAATTAAAATTGTAAATTTTAAATAATAAAAATTATTTACAAAAAACACTAAAAAAAAAGAGACCAAATCACAATACAATTAAAGTTTGAAATTAGAGAAAAAAATATAAAAAAAATTGAGGACCAAAGCGTTATAAAAATGTCATTAATAGTAAAATGAATGTTAATTTGTGAATATATAAATAGTAAATTATGAGTGTC